TTCTTGCATGTAGTATCTATTCCTCGACTAAATCTCCCAAAGGTCGTCCTTTTGGTCTTCTCATGCCATTGCCTATTCCAAATGCACCCTGGTCGAGTATTGCCCTGGATTTTGTAGTGGAACTGCCTCGTTCTAAGAATCATAGCGATGTTTATTCATTTATAACCTTTTACTTCATCTCAGTACTGAAAGGGAAGGGGACATGGGTGGATTTGAAATACCTTGGCAACATGCGATGTAAAGAGCCTGTCCACCGCTACACCCCATGACGGAGGCATTGAAGCAATGGGTTGTATTCTAAATGAATCTACAACTTATGTGGGACCACCGAATTCACATTTGAACTGCTCCAGGCAGTACTAACCCTCAGCCATTTTAGATTTGAGAAAAGTTAGTTCAAACAGATTACGGGCAATGGCACACCGAATTACGCCAATGGCTACATGTACTGCTTTAAACGAGAACACCTATTGGTAACATATGCAGAAAACATCATTTTGTACCGTCATTTCGTTGACGATATGCTTATAATTTGGAAAGGGGATGCAGACTCAATCAACAATATTATCTTAGAGATCAATACAATGAATACACCTATGCAATTAACCATAACTACGAACACTAAACATGTGGACTTTCTGGATGTATGCATACAAAGACAAGGCCAAAAGTTGGCAGCTATACACTAAGCTAACAGACAGGAATACATTACTACATGCAGATAGTTTCCATCCCCAACACCTCAAATCGTCTCTCCCATACTAACAATTCTTACGTGTCATCAGGAAAAACTCAGACCCCAAAGTAGCTCAACAACAAATAGGTTACATGGACCACACACTACAACAAGTATGGAACAGATGTTATGCTACACCAGTAGTAAAAGAAAGTAAAAGTGAAAGAATGGTATTCCCTACCACCTACACCACCGTGTCATCAAAGATCAAAGCCTCTGTGAAATCTAATTGGCAAATTCTGTCTAATGACCCAACCTTGCCAAAAGAATTCCACAATCCCCCAATGATGTGCTTTCGACGCAGTAGAAATCTACGAGACCTCTTCGTAAGAACGGATCCAGTACAGTGTTACTCCACAAAACAACTTGCAGTTAACCCAGGATGCTACAGGTGTCTGGGATGTGTCACCTGTAGCCATATGATTCCCAGCAAAACCTTCTCACACCCACACAGTGGCAAACTATTTAAAATACGGCACAGACTAACTTGTACATCTGACCATGTCATCTACAAATTACAGTGCCTTTGTGGACTTTCATATATGGTGGGAACAGACTTGCCTCTAAGAGAAAGAATGAGGAATCACCGTTCCAGCATTAGAAACGCCTAGAGAGACAACAAAGCTGAACTTCCGGTAGCCAAACACTTTTTGACAATGGGTCACCCCTTTTCATCATTAAAATTCATGGCCATTGATCACATACCCCCATTACCTCGGGGGGGTTAGGGGGAGATCGGAAAACTCTACTACTACAAAGAGAGGTATTTTGGATACGAACTCTAGACACAGTATGGCCTAAGGGCCCTAATGAAAAAGTATCATTTTCAATGTTTCTTTGAACATATAAGTCTTTAGAGAAAGTTTGCCTGTACTCGTTTATTTAAGTCTCCAGTTTCAATGTCAGATTCGTTACTGGGTTTTGCTATTTTACGTTATGCATATTTATGATAGTTATTTGAGGATGCACTCCTGTCATGTTTCTTAACCTCTTTTCTGCATCTACTTTGTATACCTTTTCTGGTATTCATCACCAGGCCCGTCGCGACAAGGCAAGCAAACCAAGCAATTGCTTGGGGCCCCGAGCTGGCCTGGTGCCCCAAGACAATGACTGGTTAAGAATAAAATGCAATGACCAATGAGAATGCAAACCAAAACAACAAGACTTGATGCAGATCGGGATTTAGCATTGGAAAGGTGTCATAAGGAGAGTGATTGCTATAATTTGTCACTTAGCAGAACGCAACCAGGCTTTAAGAAGGACCACAAGTGAGTTGTATGACCCACACAATGGGAATTTTCTGGCACAAGTTGAACTGATGGCACAGTTCGATTCAGTTATGACTGAACACATAAGAAGGATACAAAACCAAGATACAAGAGTGCATTACTTGAGTGGAACTATTCAAAATGAAATAATTGCACTAATTGGAAACAAGGTACTGGAAGAGATTGTGAGAAGAATACACAGAGCAAAGTATTACTCTGTTATTATGGATTGCACTCCTAATATCAGTCATAAGCCCCAGCAGCCTCTAACCCCAGCAGCCTCTAAACTTCTTTCAATCACTTCCTCCCTTGGACTTTTGCAGTGGGCTAATTCTCCCACTCATGTAGCTGGCAATACCCTCGACCTTATTTTCTCTTATTCATGTACAATATCTAATATCTGCAACACTCCATTTCCTCTCTCAGATCACCACCTCTTATCGTTTGCTCTCAATTACCCCCTCACCCAACAATCTCAGCCTAACCCCCCTCAGCTCAGGAGGAACCTTAACTCTACTGACCTCCAGCAGCTGTCAGCTGACATTGATTCACAACTGCTATCCATCCCTTCCCTCTACTGTCCCTCACTGGCCGTCTCCACATACAACACTACCCTCACATCTGCCTTGAACGCTGCAGCCCCTCTCAAAACATGCACCTCGAGGAGGACACGTCCCCAACCTTGGCATAATAAATCGACACGCTATCTGCAGAGTTGCTCCCGTTGTGCTGAACGCTCCTGGAGGAAGTCCCGCACCCAGGCAGACTTTCTCCATTATAGATTCATGTTGCTTTCATACAGCACAGCCCTCGCCCTCGCCAAACAGTCATACTTTTCCTCTCTCATTAGTTCATGCTCCCGCAATCCCAGACGTCTCTTTGACACCTTTAATTCCCTTCTCCGCCCTGCTGTGGTCACCCCCCCAAACTAACCTTACAGCTGATAGCTTTGCATGCTACTTTACCAACAAGATTGAACAGCTAAGGAAATAATTCTCCCCTCCTTGCCGTTCTCTTTCTCAACCACATGTAATTCTTGCTTTCCCTACCCTCCAGACTTTCTACCTGGCTACTGAACAAGAGGTGGCTGCGCTTCTCCATTCCCCCTAGCCCCACCACTTGCCTGCTCGATCCTGTCCCATCTCACCTAATCAGATCTCTCTCCCCTTGTCTTGTGCCTACCCTAACACACATCTTTAACTGCTCTCTCTCTTCTGGCACTGTTCCTGCTGACCTTGAACATGCCACTGTAATACCTATCCTGAAAAAACCATCTCTTGACCCATCCTCCCCTTCTAACTATCGTCCCATATCCCTGCTCCCTTTCTCACCAAAGCTTTTGGAAAGACTTGTCTTTACCCGTGTGTCTCGCTTCCTTAATTCCAACTCTCTCCTTGACCCTCTTCAGTCTGGCTTCTGCCCTCTCCACTCTACTGAGACTGCTCTTATCAAAGTGACTAATGACCTAATCTCCGCTAAATCCAAAGGTCACTACTCCATTTTAATTCTCCTTGACCTCTCTGCTGCCTTTGACACCGTTGATCATGCTCTCCTCCTTCAAACTCTTCAATCGCTCGGTCTCTGTGACTCTGTCCTCTCTTGGTTTTCCTCCTCTCTCTCCCAACGCTCATTCAGTGTCTCCGTTTCCAAGGATACCTCCTCCCCTCGTCCTGTCTCGGTTGGAGTTCCCCAAGGGTCTGTCCTTGGTCCCCTCCTATTTTCTCTTTATACTGCCTCTCTAGGTAAACTTATTGCCTCTTTTGGATTCCACTACCACCTGTATGCTGATGACACTCAGATATACCTCTCCTCCCCGGACCTCTCCCCTGCCGTCCTGCAACGTGTCACTGCTTGCCTTTCTTCCATCTCTGACTGGATGTCCTCACGCTTTCTGAAACTTAACCTCTCTAAAACCAAACTCCTTGTCTTTCCTCCTCCTAATACTGATCCTCCTCTCTCGCTCTCCCTTCAACTCAGTGATATCCACATAAGTCCATCCCTGCAAGCACACTGTCTTGGCGTCATACTTGACTCTGGTCTCACCTTTGAGCCTCACATCCAGTTTGTTGCCAAGTCCTGTAGGTTCCAACTCAAAAACATAGCCCGCATTCGCCCCTTTCTTACGCAAGATGCTACCAAGGAGCTTGTCCATGCTCTAGTAATTTCCCGCATGGATTATTGTAACCCTCTCCTGATTGGTCTCCCCAAAAGCCGTGTTGCCCCGCTACAGTCTGTCATGAATGATGCAGCTAGACTGATCTTCCTCTCTAGTCGGTCCTCTCACACCTCACCCCTCTGCCGGTCCTGTATTCTATAGGAGTCAATTCAAAGTGCTAACCCACACATTTAAAGCACTGAACAATTCCAGCCCCACTTATATCTCTTCACTAATCCATAGATATGCCCCTCCTCGTACCCTCCGCTCTGCCCGTGACCACCTCCTGACCGCTGCTCGCACCCGTACGGCCAACTCGCGCTTGCAGGACCTCTCGCGGGTGGCTCCTCTCCTATGGAATAGCTTGCCTACTGCCATCAGACTCTCCCCTAGTCTTCAATCATTTAAGAAGGGCCTTAAAACCCATCTCTTCAGGAAAGCTTATGGCCTCCCAGAGTAATCTCTACCTTACATACCTGTCTCCTGCTCTCTCCTATGGGACAGTGCTTTGCTCTCTCCTCCAGCTCTGCTTCACTCCTACTTGATATTTCATGTCCTAATGTTTTTAATACCCTACCTCCTATAGTCTGTAAGCTCGTTTGAGCAGGGTCCTCTTCAACCTATTGTTCCTGTAAGTTTTCTTGTAATTGTCCTATTTATTGTTACATCCCCCCCCCCTCTCAAAATATTGTAAAGCGCTACGGAATCTGTTGGCGCTATATAAATGATAATAATAATAATAATAATAATAATAATAATAAGGAACAGCTTGCCATTGTTCTGAGAATTGTCAATTGTGAACCATCTGTGTCCATTGCAGAACATTTCTTTGGATTTTTAGATGTTGAAGACAACTGGTAAGGGCCTGACTGAAGTCCTGCTTGACCACCTGCAGAAACACAGCCTGAGTCTTTCTGACTGCCGTGGTCAGTCTTATGACAATGGAAGCAATATGATGGGCCATAAACAGGGTGTTCAGGCAAGAATTTTGCAATTGAACAGCAAAGCATTTTGCATTCCATGCAGCAATCATACACAACCTGGTCCTCAGTGCTGTCCATCTCCTTCTTTGGTGTGTTGCAAAGACTCTATAACTTATTCAGTTCCTCTGTGCAACGCTGGGCATTTCTAAAGGAACATGTAAAGCAGCTCACTTTAAAACCTGTCAACAACAAGATGGGAAGCTCGGATTGACTGCGTGAAGGTGGTGCGATACCAGTTACCAGAGATCCTGGATGCATTGTCTGCACTCCAGATGTTTGCTATAGAGAAGGGGGACTCAGAGACCATGTCCACTGCTAAAAGCTTACATGGTGAGATGAAGACCTGGTCTTTTCTGCTTTGCACAATGACCTGGTACAATGTTTTGTACCAGATCAATCATGTCACCAAGCTTCTACAAAGTCCAAATATTTCCATGGAAACGCTTAGATCAGCAATAGAAGGAGTAAAAGACTACCTTGAAGACTTCAGGGAAAATGGGATTGCTTCATGTCAAACTGATCATGTCAAACATGTCAAAAAGAAAAGACAGTCTCTATATGAAGGTACAGACGAGACTTTCAGAAGAGACTTCTTTCTGCCCATGGTTGACACAGCCCTCAGAAGCCTAAGTGACAGGTTTTCAAGATTGAAGGGTGTTTATGACCTTTATGACTTTCTGTTCTCAAAAGGACAACATGTAAGACAATAAAGAATGGAAAGCTTCATGAACGATGCAAAAAATTGGAACAAACCCTCCATGACATTGATGCTGATGACTTGGCACTTGAGATCAATTCATCTCTCTACACTTTTCCAGACCATGTAGCCACTTCCCCATTTGACATGCTTAATTACATATACAGTGAGAAGCTACTGGATTTGTACAGTAATTTAAGCATTGTTTTGCGTCTACTCCTGACTCTCCCTGTGTCAGTGGCCTCTTGTGAGAGGAGCTTTTCAGATTTGAAGCTGATAAAAAAATTACATGAGGTCCACCATGGGCCAAGAAAGGCCCACAGGACTGGCACTAACGTCAATTGAGCGGGATGTTCACCAGTCTTTTGACATGGAGGACATTGTGATTGCCTTTGCAGAAAACAAGGCTCGCAAACAGCAGTTTTAGATAATCTGCACATGTTTGTGAGAACTAAAAAAATGTTAATTTGAGTGTGTATGTATGTTTGTGTGTTTTAAGTATGTTGGATTTAGTTATTGTGCACTTTTTTTAATCTTATATAGGATGCCTCTGATTTGTCCGATTTAAATGCTTTAAATGCCCTTTTCCGGTTGTCTGATTGATAGCCCATGGGGTTAAGTTACAAATGTGCCAATTTCTGTTAAAATCTGCACTTTTTGAGAAATGAATAAAGAGGATGCACTCGTCATGCATAAACAGGGTTATCACTAAGTCCAAACGGGGAAAAAACATCCAGTTTAATAAAGGGCCCTTCAGACAGCAAAGACCAGACATTGTTGATTGAATTCATCAATATCTGAATTTTGTAATTAGGGCCGAATGGCCTGAATATAGTCCAGATTTTAGACAGACAATACATCACCAGGTGGCTGAAATGCTGGCCTAATGCAGCAAATTCACGCCCAGAGGCTTCAATTCAACGCTGGCCTGGATTGAAAAAAAAATCAGAACAATGGTGCACTGACAAGGTTAGCAGGCAAATAGTTAAAAACTCTCGGCTGAGCACGGGTTAATTATGTGGTGGCTGGCCAGCTTAATGTTCAATTAAACACCTACAATTATAACTAATCTATTTAAAAGAAGCCATAAGAACAATTAAGGGGAAAATTATAGCTTTCATAGTACGACATAAAATTATATTACTATTACTAAGGAGAAAATTATATCTTACATAATAAGCATTAAATTATATTTAACGCCAAACAATTTGTGTAAAAATAGCGGATATAAACACTATAGCCAACATGCAATATTCCTGATTAAGTTATCACATAGGAGTGGCATAAACTGCCTGTGCTGCAAGTTAGCTCTTCAGTTTGGGTAAATGGGTAATAAGTAGGGCCGGAGTGGACCCCCGGGAGACCGGGAAATTTCCCGGTGGGCCACTGAAGCTGGGGCCTGCCAGGGGCTGCAGGAGCTGTAAAAGTTTTATTTCTTCTAAATTTGTTGGGGAGCTGTGAGGAGTGGCATCACAATGTTGCTCATCAGCAATTAGTAGGCGGTCAAATACTGCATGACGTCATATTGCGGCGGCAAACAATCACTGAATGTAGGAGAGAAACTTAGTGAAAGTCCTCTCCACAGCTGCACACCCAATGATGGCTCAGGAAGACAGTGTAGTGAGAGAATCTGTAATTTGCGTGTTTATGTATGTGTGTTTCAGCTTGTCTGTGATTGTTTATTGGTTATTATATGTGTGTCAATGTGTGTATGGGTCACTTTATGTGTGTATGTGTTGGTATCAATTTGTGTATTGGTCTGTGTGTCTGTGTGGGGGGGGGGAATCAGTGTGAACTAATAAAAAAATGCAATAGTATTACTTAGGTTACAGGATATCTGAAGGTATATAATAATAATTTAATACTATATATATATATTTATTATTAAATTATTATTTACATGGTTAGAGATTATAAGCATAATTTGTATAAGTATTATGCTTATAATTTATACACAAATATTAATATAATACATATGCATTAATATACTCGTAGATATGCATAAAACACCCAGTAATTGTACTGAATAAAAATTACAAATGGCTTTACTAAGTTCAAGAGTTAAAAACATGGGCATCCTAAGCAGGGCCAGCGCAAACCTATGGCAACCATGCAGACGCCACTACCCTGCGCTTTGGGGGCTCTCACTTGGCACATGCTCAAATATACTGGTTGGGGGATGAATGGGCAGCGTGAGAGCAATGTACTTAATGTTTTCCTCCTGCAGTGTGACAGCATCCAGTATATGCGGATGGGAGCTACTCAGTCTGGACCTGGAAAAAAGCAACAGTCCCTGAGCTGGGCATACAATATCTAAACTAGTACTGATAACGCAGAGGTATTCACTACAGTGAGAATTCAAAGTGAATTTTAAATTTAAGGCTCGTCATAGAGGAAATATAACTGAATAAGAGAATTTTTCTGATTGACTATTTTGACTTTAAAAAAAATTGAAATTCGGCCAAACTTAACTAAGCCAAAAATCACTGGCATCGCGCCAGCCACGACCCACTTAACACCAGAACCGCATTCAGGGCACCGTCCGGAAGAGGTCGATGCCTTTCTTTCTGGCACCGGGTAAGAAATACCGAAACAGGGGCTTCAGGGCCTAACGCGCGGCCGGCCAGCCACACGCGACCGCAGGGGAGCAAACAATCTGGGAAGACCTGAGCCTGATAGACCTGCTGCCTACCTACCAGCCAGAAAGGGACATGGGGAGAAAATCCCAAAAACCACCCGTGACTGACGTGAGAAACGCAGCGCAACATAGGCCAGATGTTGACGCCATCACAAAACTCGCAGGAGCCCTCTCCCACGAGAGACCCGACACCCCAGCAGTCTGAGGTCGGGAACTCACCCCAGAGCCCAAAACAGGCCACCCAAGAGGATGCTGGCACACCAGGACTGATAACCCTTGCAACAAAACAAGATATACAGGATATGCTTACAGGCCTCCAACATAACCTCAAGAAAATGCGGGAAGCAGACCTCGCAGCATTAACCCCAGAGGTACAGGCCGTCACAGCACGCGCCCAAGCCACAGAAGCAAATGTACTTCCCCTGCAACACAATTTCCAGATGCTCAGTGACAAGGTACACCAGCTACAAAATGACACCAACAGGCAAGTGAGCACCCTAAATGATAGAGGCCGGAGAAAAAATATAAAGATAAGAGGGGTCCCAGAAACCATCCCCCTGGAGGAACTGCAGCACTTCGTGAGACGGCTAGTGGCATCCCTACTACCGACGAAACAAGCTAAGTACTTCACATTTGATGGGGTATACAGAATAGCTAAATCCCCTAAAGCCCCAGCCACGGCACCAAGAGACATCATTCTTAGATGCCAAACAGTAGCAGACAAGCCAAGACTAACAGCAGCACTAAAGGGAAAATCCCCATATAACTTCGAAGACAGCCACATATCCTTTTTTCAGGACTTAAACAGGGCTACCTTGCTATGGCGCAAGAGTATGCAACCTCTTACAAGGACATTACAAGCAGAAAACCTGACCTATCGATGGGCAACCCCAAACACTTTGTGGATCACTAAAGATGGACAATCCTATAAAGCCACAGCCCTAACGGACGCACCTGCATTGCTAACAGCGCTGGGCCTATCCACCAGGAAAACACCAGCACAGGGAACATCCCGCTCTCCAGCCACGACATCCACCGGAGCAGCCTCACTAGACCCTAGAAAGAAAGCGGGACCCATGGGGACACTTACGGCTATGCAGCCCTAAACGACTCTCCCAAGAGTCCGTTACAACCTCACAGATAGTGATGTCCCGAACGGTTAGCCAAACGGTTCACGAACAGTTCGCCGTGGACTCCAGTCAGAAGACACATTCCAGCCAATCAGCAGCAGTCCCTCCCTCCCAGACCCTCCCACCTCCTGGGAGTGGTAGGGTCTGGGAGGGAAGGTCTGCTGTTGATTGGCTGGAATGTGCCTGCTGACTGGAGTCCGCGGCGAACCGTTCGCGGCGAACCATTCCCGAACCGTTCGGGACATCACTACTCACAGACCAACTTCATAACAAAAATGTGCACAATCACTGAATGCTATGCCAGATGTTTATCCGTTAACTGTTGTGATCCTTGTCAACAGGTAGCACGGTCCTCTAGGGCAAAAACATGCACAGTCCTTGTAATTGCATATACTCCAGGCACTTTACAGGGAGTGCAGAATTATTAGGCAAATGAGTATTTTGACCACATCATCCTCTTTATGCATGTTGTCTTACTCCAAGCTGTATAGGCTCGAAAGCCTACTACCAATTAAGCATATTAGGTGATGTGCATCTCTGTAATGAGAAGGGGTGTGGTCTAATGACATCAACACCCTATATCAGGTGTGCATAATTATTAGGCAACTTCCTTTCCTTTGGCAAAATGGGTCAAAAGAAGGACTTGACAGGCTCAGAAAAGTCAAAAATAGTGAGATATCTTGCAGAGGTATGCAGCACTCTTAAAATTGCAAAGCTTCTGAAGCGTGATCATCGAACAATCAAGCGTTTCATTCAAAATAGTCAACAGGGTCGCAAGAAGCGTGTGGAAAAACCAAGGCGCAAAATAACTGCCCATGAACTGAGAAAAGTCAAGCGTGCAGCTGCCACGATGCCACTTGCCACCAGTTTGGCCATATTTCAGAGCTGCAACATCACTGGAGTGCCCAAAAGCACAAGGTGTGCAATACTCAGAGACATGGCCAAGGTAAGAAAGGCTGAAAGACGACCACCACTGAACAAGACACACAAGCTGAAACGTCAAGACTGGGCCAAGAAATATCTCAAGACTGATTTTTCTAAGGTTTTATGGACTGATGAAATGAGAGTGAGTCTTGATGGGCCAGATGGATGGGCCCGTGGCTGGATTGGTAAAGGGCAGAGAGCTCCAGTCCGACTCAGACGCCAGCAAGGTGGAGGTGGAGTACTGGTTT